ACCAGCTCTGAAGAAGCCGCTCAAGTGATTGCAGTCGGGGATGCGGCAGTGTGACGTTGCTTGACAGTTGAACCTGTCCCGTTTTTCAGTTCGACGGGTGTTCCAACGTTTTCAGCAGACTGGTGGTTATGTTAGAAAACCGGGATCTGGAAGAAAACGGTGCACATCAGAAAGAGATGGCCGTTTCATCGTTACGACATTTTTACGAAACCGTTTTACAAATGCTGTTGAGTTGCAACAACAGCTTCGATCAACTCGGAGAACATCTGTGAGTGTTTCTACGATAAGAAGAAGGTTACACGAAAAGAGTTTAACAGCCCATAGACCTGCTAAAGGTCCAAAACTTACTGCACAGCATCGCAGATATCGCCTAGAGTTTGCTCGCAATCATTGCGAGTGGACTCTAGAACAGTGGCGGACCGTACTCTTCTCTGATGAGACGAGGGTCTGTCTCTTCTGCAATGACAGACGTAGAAGGGTCCACAGAAGACAGGGGGAGAGGTTCACACAACCCTGCTTTGAAGAATCCGTCGAATACAGGGGTGGCTCGTGTATGTTTTGGGGCGGCATTTCCGTCGACGGGAAAACGGAACTTGTGTGCGTTTCCCGGACTCGGGGTGGCCGTGGGCAAGGCTCATTAAATGCTGGTCGGTACATTACTGAAATCCTGGAGGAACATATGGTCCCGTATGCTGGTTATGTCGGTGATGGATTCATGTTAATTCATGATAATGCTCGTTGCCACACCGCGGCTATTGTACGGGATTATTTACAGGAGGTCGATATCCCTGTTATGCATTGGCCAGCACGAAGTCCAGACCTTAACCCAATAGAACATCTCTGGGATGACCTAAAACGGCGCGTGCGAGCTCGAGATCCAGCTCCAACCACTCTTCAAGAGCTCCAAGATGCGGTACTTGAAGAGTGGGAACAAATACCCCAAGAGGCTGTTGCGACCCTTGTAAGGTCCATGAAAGATCGCATGGAAGCCGTTATCAAGGCAAGGGGGGGTAACACTAGGTTTTAAGAACTTTTTTTATATTTATTAAGTTTTTTTTTTAAATTGTTAATTTGCAAATTTGTACATACCTTGTCTTTTTCTTTAATTTCTCTTTCGTCTCGTTATAAAAGTAAAATTAAATTAAAATTCCTGAAAGCTAATGAAATTACCTTTCGAATGATACCCTCAAACCACAACATTGCCATTGGCCTGTTGTTTTAAAATAGTATTTAAATTATTTTTTTCAAATGTGCGATTTTTTTTTTGACGCCGAGTGTAGTATCCCATTACATCAATACATTTACTTGTTCGTGAAAGCTTTTCTATTCCTTTAAAAAATGTCTTCGCCTAGGCCTGAAAAATGCTCAATTACAGCGGACTTGAGCTCACTAACTTCAGCGAATCAGTTTCCCCGAAGGACTTTTTTCAAGTTTGGAAATAAAAAGTAGTCACTAGGGGCTAGATTTATAGATAGGGGCGTACAGCAACCTTGGAGAGCCGCGCCGTGTGAACAGGTGTGTTGTCAAGAAGAGTCAGCACTCCCTTGGTCAGATTTCCTCTTCTCTTTTTTTATTGCTTCTCTCATACGGCGTAGTGGTTGAGTATTGGTCTGCGTTGATGGTTTCACCTTCTTTGTTTCCTTTTAAATCTCAAACCACTGTGGCCATGATTTTACCGGCCGATGGAATGACTTTGAACTTCTTGGGGAGGTCTGATACCTTTTAATGCCATTGCATAGACTCCTGTTTACTCTCAGGGTCATTTTGGTGAACTGACGTTTCATCTCCTGTAACTATCTTATTGAAAACACTTGTTGGGTCGTTACCATATAGTTCAAATAACTCCCTACAACAGTTAACCCGCGCCAGCTTTTGAAGCGCAGTGAGTATTCGGGGCAAGGATAGTCATGCCATATGGTATATGTATGGTACCAACGTAAAGGTTAGTCATTTCTGCTAACATCTTAATTCTTACCCGTGCATCTTCTTACTACAAGTTTTTCAACTATTTTCACATTTTCTTCCGTAGCCGCTGTGATTGGCCTACCCGGCGGTGGTCATCTTAGATGCTTTCCCTGCCTCTTTTGAATTTACTTGACCACTTCTGTATGATGGTTCTCTGCTTTGCAGTTGACATTGAAGAGGCAGAGTCTTGGTAAACGGCCACCATTTCTGTTGGGGATTTGTGTACAAAAACTACAAAATTCGCTAATAGAAGAGAGCTTAGAGTAATTACACATAGAGTGATAGTGACATTCAAAATTCCGTTCAAAGTTGAAGCAAGAACATAATGAATGTGTGCATAAGCGGCCTGTAATTACGTTTGCCCACACGCACACAAGCAAATGAGTAATGTTTGCAAGTTAATGACATTTTCCCCAAAAAGTGGGGAAAATGTAATAGTAGACATCGTCATAGAATTAATATTTAGGTTGCGTTTATAATTATTTATTAACTATTTGCAAAGAGAAAATTGTAGCACTATTTATTTTTATTAACTTATGTAATATTTAAATTATTTATATACGTAATATCTTGTGTTATATTCACAAATCTATTATGTAATTATATTATTGTGTTAGAAGTGGTATATTTATATAAATATTTGTTATTTATCTTCCATAAAATCTTATATTATTTGTAAATTTTAATTTTTATATAATACTCAAAAGAAATGGAGGAGGCAAATGCCTAAGTCTATTTCTTCCAATTTTTCCAATCCAGTCCCACTTACACTTAAGAAGTGAATAGTTGTCAGATAATCATTTTAGCTGTCAGATATTTTTTCATTAACTTTGGCTGTGGCCCGCGGCTTCGCCCGCATATCAAAGCGTACCCTGATCTCGATTCTTGCCATTCAAAGAATATACGTGATATATTTAATTTAAATCGGTTTCAACGTAAAGGACTTAAGAGTGCGGTCAGCTTCAAGTGATTATTATCATTACTTTATTGGCTATTATGTTTTGCATTAAAACAAAATAAGATTCAGAAGGAGATAACTATTCAAATAAAACATGAAATTAAAAATGTTTATTAAAAATATAAAATAAAATAAAATACAATAAAGTACTTAAAAAAATATCTCTTAATGACCCTGAAACTGCAACTGTTTTCTAAACAACTGACTTTGATGACGCTATCCTCGAAATGTTATCTTTTTTAGATTCATAAAAGAATCGAACTAAAAATGTTAAAAATATGTAAATTAGAATAAACAAATCATAGGCTATGTTATTTATCCTAAAACATATACCATAAAATGGTAAAAACAACTGCACATTATCAAAACAAAATAAAATCAACATATTTTTTTTTCGTGGCATATGGGAACCCTAATAATATTTGGCAAATAAAAATACCTATTAATATGTGAATGAGACTATTGGCAGTATGTATGTTTTTTTTTCAATTTGCATTTTTTTATAATTATAATAATAAGAAAAAATGGGGTATAATATTTTACTATGCCTAGCAACATTTTCATTATATTGGCGTCTGTCTAATTTATTATTTTGTTTTGATGAATGTTTTGTTACAAAATATAAGATGCTAGGCAATACTTAACCGTGAAATGAGATTTTTACATTTTTTTCGTGATTATGTGATGAGTTGTGACACCCTTTCACAGTACAGTACGTCATTTTTTTGAAAAATTGTGCGAGCTGTTTACACGACTACATGGACTCGAGTACTAACGCGCCAAAAGTCGTACTTAGCCTTTAAAGGCTAACTTGAAATGGCTTCACTTTACGTGCGCCTACTGCGGTTCTAAGCCTAATACTTCTATGGAAGAGAGAGAATGTCGATTTGACAGTTATAAAAAAGGTTACAATAGGGTTGTACCATGTAAATAGTGATGTGCTACAATCGGTGCTGTGAGTGTCTCGAACAATTTCTTCAAGGAAGTTTTTTTGAGTTTTCCTTGTTTAGTGAGAAATTTAGTCACGCACGGTGTTCGATTTTTTCCAACATTGTCTAGTCAGTCATTCCCGTCGTCTATGACTGACAGTTGCATGAGAAGTAATGAAGTTAGTGGTCAGGTAGTGTTCTTAGCTAGTGATTTTATTTAATTACCCACATTATTAGCAAATCACCTTAATACCGAGAATACATTGAACGCCCCTCGTAGCTAGTTTCCGTTGATATTGACCTCCGTGATCGAAATTCCATCTATAGGACATTATTCATTACCTAATCACTCCACCCAGTTATCTTGTCAAACTTTTTGAATTGACAGGTTTAAAAAGTTGAAACCTAAATTTCTCAATTCTCCCCAAAATCCCAAATCACCAAAATATTAGTAATTTTGTTTTTAAATAAAAAGTCGTACTATATATAAAACATTTTATTTATTATTAATGGTCCTTATTTCTTATAGTATCTAGGTAAAAACAGACGTTTTTAGTCTATATTGGTCATACTACGATTTTCAACGCGATACAAGATTATTAAAATAAGTACCTAATTGTAATAATTACTTTGTCGATTTAAGATAAACCAACCTTCAAAAAATAGTTCAAGTTTAAAATCATGTTCTTCTTATGTACTTTTTTAATAAACTTCTACATTTTCATGTTATAAAAGCAGTATTTTTAGAATATTTAAGTCATAATACTTCAAATGTTATTTATAGTACCTAACTACACAAAATGTCTAATGCTAATTTGTTATTTTTTTATTTTGTTTCACGTAGTAGTGTAGTGTATCTTTGTTTCTATAAGAGAAATGAAATATTTTCTTTGCATGAGATTCATTTAACAATACTTATCATCAATGTAACGAAAAAACAAAAAACATTTTATACTTATCTATAATTTTTAAATTATAAAAGTGTAAAAAAATATTGTACGATTATTGGACGGAGTATTTCTTAAAATACATCTATACATAAATTAGATTCAATATTTTTGTAGATTTTGCACAAAAAAAAATAGATTAGTCAAAAATTTTGCTTCACAAATTAATTTTAATTCATGAATAATTTGTGTAAGCTATATTCAGATATCCGTATGACCAGAGAATCCAATTTTCCTCTCATGCATTGTGTGAGATGATGGTTCTCTGCTTTGCATTTCATGTAGCCTCTTATATTTCTGAACGCGAGCTTCTATTAAAAATAGAATACCAGCAGGAAATAAAAAGATTACTCCAATCACACCCAGAGCAAAAGCCCAACCTAAATCATTATGCTCCCAATTGGGCATCCAATCACGACCATCTCCTCTAGCTCCAAATATAATTACTGATATGAGTCCTGAAAAACCTGAATGAATAAAAATACATATTTTAATATTTATTACCTAGAATTTAGTTAATGGAAAAATTCACGAATCGATAAAATATTTTGTATCTTTTTATTTTCACCTATTGAATGTACTGGCTTAAAGTAACAAAGGCCTATTAACATTATGCTGTACTAACTGCAATAAATGGTGTATTTATTAGCCAAGTAAGCACAATCTACTTAAAACATTGAACAGTTTATTAATTATTATTGTACCAGACATCACCAAATAGTCTACAAAGCTATCAGGGTTTAGTGTTACTCATTTGGGTTGGGTTTGCCTGTCGGGACACCTTCGTAAAATATTGAGGACAAAGGAGGAGGGAAGGATGGAGCAGAAAACTACATCTAATCGACTGGAGATAGTAGATAGTAGTAAGTTGCGTTTTTTCATAATAAATCGGAACCACACTTTTGCCTTATCAAAATATGTGATCTCTGCAAATTACACTGAATACTGTTACTTGAAAAAAAAAACACTTAAAATTATTATGAAATGTATGTAAAATTACCTTAACAAAAATACTATATCTAAAATACCAATCAACATATTAAGAATAAATATACAATTACAAGCGCGAATCTAATTATAATCACACACCCGCGCGCACGTACGCAAGCATGCACACAAACACACGCGCACACAAACGTAATCGCATTCGCACGCTATGCCCCACAAAAGTGGGCCTGCTTCTAGAAGAAAGACTTTATCATAAAGAGCCCCTTATTCCACAAAGTCGGTCAGGTGTTGACCCCTTGGGCTGCGTTGCTTTTTTTCTAAATTTCCCTACCTTCAGCTTACTGTCCTTTCTCGTGCTTAGTTTTACAATGAAGTCTTCCCTCAACACTGTATAGTGGGTATTGGAGGAATGTATAGCTCTGAATATATCTTCACACATCTCCTCCACGAACCTCTTGATACGTAAATCTGTGTTACCTTCAATGAATACCGTTTGGTAATTATGAGTACAAGGTACGAAACCTTTGCCGAAAGACTTCCAATCTTCACAACTTGAGGATGAGAGCCTTGTGAGCGATAAACGCGACACCTCTTTGGAACAAATGGTCACCCTCCCGGTGATAAGAACAAGTTTCTGGGTTCAAAGATTACCATGTTTCTACCCTCTTTATACCTCAGATAATCTATCTATTTCTTGTTCCGGCACCAGGATCTTTTCATCAGTCCGCGCCTCAGGATGCAGGCGTAAATGTTGCCAGGTTGAGTCGTTAAAGGTGGCAACTGAACCTTAGCCTTAGATTTTTAACATCCCATTACCCCGCCGTTGCCAGTCGTCACCGTAGCCAGGAATAGTTGGCCCGCTAGGGATTAAACAGGGGCCTTCGCTTTATAAATTTTTTAACGGGGAATATATTCATAGTTACCACATTTCAAGTCAGTTTCCACTACAAATGCGATTAAAAAACGCACAATGCTGTCAATCGTATTCTCTCTAAACGCAGAATTGATATTATGAACTGTCTCTACTGCTGCTGCTGTCTATGCCGGACCTTCAAATCCGGCGTAGACAGCAATAGTTATTCAGGTCTTTAAGGTATCCTTGATTTACTCAAATACTGAATGTAAAATCAATTGAAAGTCAAGAAAAGAATGTTATACAAATGTTATATTTTTTGTGTGGAGAAAGTTTTGATCTCGAATCTTGGACCATGCACGTTTTATTTTAATTCAAATTAGTAACTACGGTTGAACTCTCGACTTTTATATTCAGGATTAGACTTGCTAGAATCAGGGGTTTAAATTCGCCGCCGCTAAGATCTAGAACGATTTGTGAACACCAGTCCGTTATACCCTATTTCTATCTACTTTTCGGCAAAATGTCACAAGTGGCTAATTCAACAGCAGCCCTTGACTCTGTGTGGTAAATAATTATATCGTTTCTGTTTAAGCCACGTAATGCATTTTTAACCTTGTGTTTTTGTGGTAAATAAATACTTTTTACTTTACTTTATTATAACAGCAACTTCATAATTTACCCACTATTATATGCTGCACCCTAATTTACTATCGCTATTAATATTATATTTGACAATATGAGCATTTATGCCTAATGTGGTTTCCAGGAATCACATTCTTTTTCATAGAAAAATTTCAATTTTACAAAAAAAAATACAAATAAATTAAAAATTATTATAATAGATACTAAATTTCCCAAAAATACGTGTTCAAATATCAAGTATGATACTAGCGACAATGTTACGCTTCTAGGGAGCCTAAGGGCAAAGCCGAAAAGCCCCTGTACATTTATGTAATAGGTACATAAATACCTCCATACCAACCCATACCAACTGCATCATAACCAAATATAGCTGATATTATACTTGATATGTGCATTCATACTTTTGATAATGTTTCAGTAACAGTGTTCAATGTTATTTCCAGACACATCCTTTTTGGAGATGCAAAAAGTGAAATTATTATTTTACAAAAAAAAAATATAACTTAAGAATTATACATTTCTGCTGGGGTTACGTTAAGGGGGTTGTTTTTCTCAAAGTGCCAGACTGTAAAATGTAGGCACAATAAATTAATTTTACGATTGTATGAAAAAATCATAAAACATACATATCCATGCGGAGGGGGGTGTTAAGAGGGTAGCTTCCCGCCACACCAATGAATTCTAATTATAATAGATCTCTTAATAGAATGATCACCATAATATTAATAAATACTAACCTCCAATCACAAGCACTGTTCCCAAAGTGATTAACAGGGTCACATAATTTTCATCATCTTTATCTTTCTTCATATAAAGGTAAGCCATAAACATTGAAGCCAGAACACAACATGTTGTAATAGTAAAAAAGAATTGTGTTGCTATAAAGAATCCAGGTAACAGAATGTCATGTATAATATAATATTCCTCTTCAAAAATCCACCAGCAGCCTTTGAAAACAGTGTCATACCAATGATGTACTTCTTCAAAACCGTTGAAGCACACTTCCCACAAACCTGTGAAGGAAGGAGGTAAAACTTTGTTGATAACTAGTGATATATATTTTTTTATAAAGCTGGAGTAAGAAAGGAACTTATTATATTCCACCAGATGGCCGCTTCGGATTCTGCAGTCTACGAACACCTTGCCACCTTGAAACAAACAAGGCTAGAGATGCATTGTCACCACTGAGAATTTAGATGGATTGCCTGATAGATGCAAGTATAATTATAATAGTTATACTTGCATCTATACCCTTTAGAATGGAACACAGCAGTGTTTGCATTGCTATTTGGCAGCAGAAATACTACCAGACCCACTCTCACTACCCAAACGGACTTCTAGGCAGAAACAGTCCTACAACCTGAGAGTTTTAACTTATAAGTAAAACATCATTATTATGTAATAAAGTAAAACTTGTTTTTAAGCAAGTTTTACTTTTGTTACGGCCGGTGAAGGGTGCTGCCGCCCCATCGCACCTTCATACCCTGTTACGCCCCGCGCACCCAATCCAGACATCACGTGATGCCTACGCCCAACGAGCGCACAGGGACGATGAAACCCCTGCAGCACAAATAAAAGAAATCCGGCCGCTGGGAGTCATTCGATTACCAAGCAGCAGTTAATATAATATATATATAAAAAATATATATATATATATATATATATAATAAGCAGTAATTAATTGTACTGCTGCATAATTCTAATATATATAGTTTATAAATGGTTGTTAAGTTGTCCCAAATTTCTTTATACAGTCCTCTTAGTACTCAGTTTAATAGTCAAGTTAATTTAGTAAAGGAAATCTATCGAAGTAAAATCTCTCTTCAAAAAATAAATTAAAGTTAGTCATACAGTATACTTACACACTCATCTCATCTCCTATTTCCATACTATTTCGACTCCAACCCCGAAGCTATCCCTAATAACTTTATTATGATTATTATTATTTTGATATTAATCTTTATATGTGTTATTTTAATATTAGGTACTTCGTCTGTACATATTTATTAGCCCAGACAGATATACAGACTAAATTTTTAAAAGTGGTGTTTCATATTTATATATTTAATAGAGATATAAACCACAGATGTATAGGTTTTTAAGAATTACAAACTACAGATGAATTGGGTAATGACTTTACTGAATACAGGAATCCAATTATTCACCAAATATTAGGGTACAACTTGGATTTTATTCAAGTTTAAGGGGCACAGGTGTTAAGTTGCCAATACTCTAAAGTGATGACGATCTTTATAATAATAAACAAAGATGTTACATTTTTTCAAATTAGTTCATGGAATTATTTTTAAAGCATAGTTAATAATCATATTTAAGTACATATAAACATTGTAATAGGTTCAAGCCTAACCCTGACAAGGAAACATAATTAAAATCAAGTACCGGACGCCTATAGCCAACCCACGGACTTCATTGTGAATGTTGACAATGAGATTCACAAGCAAAAAGATTATGGTTCCATGGCCCAGTGGCTTAGCAATGAGTTGCAGCGCTAAGGGCTGGGGTTCGAATCCCACACAGAGCAAATATTTTTATGGCCTACAAATAATTGTTCCAGGTTTGAATGTAGTCCTTGTGAAATTTATGTATATAAACTACCCCTTAGATACAGGAGAAAACCCTAATGTGGAGGTAAACTATTTTTAATACAAACAAAAAAATCATTATAACCCCCATTATAGAATTGCTGAAATACAAAAAGATGTTGAATGTTAAGAAAAACTGACACTCAGATTTAATAGTTTCAGAAACTGCTAATGATATTCAAAAACTCTTATGGCTTCGATTTGTAGAGAACCTAATAACTGCTCTATCATTCAGATTTTACTGCTATCGAAAAATTGCATGTACTTATGTAAACATAATATGCCATTTCGCTCCAAAATAAAAACGTATTCCAAATCAGTACAATTTAGGCCGAAATTGCATAATTTATATCTGTTTTTGTAAGAATCAATAATATAACACTTACCAATTTTTATAAACTTTGGATTTTTAAGCTTTCCATCCGTTACTAACCAAAATGGGCTGGCAAAGGCTAATATAATAAACAATGTAGCACCAGTATAAAAACCCAAGGCAAACAAGCCTGTTTTTGATTTATCCATTATATGTTTGTGATACCGATTTGTTACAAAGAAAAGATATTCAATTTAGCAGAGAGAATGCAATCATTACGCTTTTGTACATTTAAAAATATAAATCACAGATCAGATAACTATAAATTATAGTATGATGTCACAGACTACTTAGTGGATACTACGTATCAGACGGGAATCTTAGAACAACCAATACGGACACGGTAGTTTAGAGTTTGACATTTGTTTACTTTCAAATTTTTTAGGTATTAGGCAAAAGTACATCATTGATAAAGCCTTTTGTCGTTACTTTTTAATTTTTTAGTTATAAGACGAAAGTACATTATAGATAAAGCCTTATTTCATTCGCCTCACAGCTATTCACCATTCAAAAATTTGAAAATATAATACAAAAATAAAACAACTGTTATTTTACTTATTTAAGTTTTTATTTTTTAATTTCTTTTGAAATTTTTTATAAGCTTTATCTTGCATATGCGGCAATTGCTTATGTAATTTTAATCTGACAATATCCAACCCTTTTAAGATTTTATTCACTATGTTACACCAGTTCCATATACATAATTTAATTGTAATGGAGACAAAATATTCTAGAAGAGCTTGTTTATGACTCCGGCATGTTAAGAAATCAAACGAATATTTGGATTTAATTTTATGTGCTATTTTTTTTGAAATTTCATAACTATTTGGTTTCAATTCCAAATATTCGTTTGTTTCTTTTACAATGTTTGAAAAATACCTCACTGCATATTCTGAGGGATAGGTTAATTTTTGTTTTTTTTTCAAGTTTCTGTACTCCCTGTGAGAAATCCATTGGTGGACTGACGACTCATTATTTTGGGTTAAACAGTTTTTACAATTGTTACATTTAATTATTTTTAAACATTTTTTCACAACCCATCCCGCAGTATATGCACGAGAGTGTACACTGAGTCTTTCTTTTCGAGCTTCTACTTGAATATTTTTCATGTCTTCGGGAGAGATTATTACATTAGAACTTGACAGAGGCATCTGGGTTTCACAAACTTGTGGTGCCTCTAATAATTTTTTTAATTTTATTATTTGTTCTCCCGAAGTCTCCTCACAATTATAATTTTCTGAATGAAAATTAATGAATCTGGTAACTAACAAGGAGCGAAATATATTTTTAAATGCTTGACAATTTGGGTCATTGCTTCTAAAACTATATGCCCGCATTTGTCCAAAAAAGTTTTCAATTGGGTCAGAATTGAAGTACCTTGGGCGCATAATTTTTAAACCCTTTTCTTTAAAGAAGCGCCACAATCTAGTTAAACTTTTTAATGTCACAACATAATTTTTTTGAGAGGGCACAATACACTCCTTGCCCTCTTTATTGATAAATCTCATTCCTTCTAATTTTTTTATGGAATTTTTCCAAAAAATTTCGTGCTCCGATGAGTTCGTTACAGCTTGCCTTAAGGGCTTCCCTTTGTTTTTCCGTGTAAGAGCTGCCCCATTACACGAATCAAATAAATCATCGAAAAATGACACAACTTCTGAAGTATTTTTTAATGTTGAGCTTACAGCTTTGCCATCAGCATAGTGGGCTGTAAAATAAAAATAAATATGATGTTAGTCATAGAAATCCTAAGTCACTGCAAAAATTGTTATCTTTATTTTTATATTCTACATAATACAGCTTATATGTATTCATGCACCTTTATATGTTTTAATAAAAATAATCTCTTTCTCAATAGTTCTTCCTGGAACAGATCACTGTTTAGTATTAAGGCCGGCTAATTCTACATTTTGTATATAGTTTTTTGTCAGTGTTTATGTAATATAATATTGTATGCAAAAAAAGTATAAAAAAGTAAAATAAACAAATAGCAACTTTCTACATCTATATCCTCTGCTAAATTTAGAACTTCATTTATCAGTGAATTCAAAAGGTTCTCCAGTAGTAGCCGCATACCAGTAAGCAAATCGTAAGACGGCCCCCCACTAAGGTGTTAACCTGATAAGACATACAGGAAAATGATGGGTGCACATGGGGGAGGTCTGTGTATGACGGCATTCCTCGTGTAAGGCCTATGTTCAGCAGTGGACTTATAATGAGGCTATAATGACGATGATAATAGGATGTTAGAATGAGCCAATAACCGCAATACACTCTCCCATCATCAAGTTGTGATATTTTCGGTTCTGCTAATGTAAATGAATTACCTACAGTAGTGCGTTGCTAAAGCACTATTTATTTAGTAAGCAGGTCACTTCATGCAGGTGATGTTGGAATTTGGTGAAAAGTTTGATAGATTCCCCCTTATTTTAGGTCAAATATAAATTAGAATAAAATAATAATATTTAGATCAACAAACTTACAAAATTGTGATGTGTATGCCAAGGCTCCTGCAACAGTCTTGCTTAACACACGACTGCAGTTTTTCACCTGAAAGACCAAATGTTAATATTAATTATTTTGGCTTTATTCCAAAACTGTATTTACATAAAATAGTAATAGATCAACATTTTAATTTACACTGAAAGGTATAAAATTGTTAATGATAATTTATTTTCTTATATTGGTAGGCTTACCTTCATTTTTTTTATTTTCTGAGGAATGACATGTTCATCATTTAACTTATGCAGCAAACGCATTTCTGCATGTTTGCAGTCTGTTAAATAAACATCTACAATGTCATTCCATTTTGATGTTTTCCCATTCAATAATATATTTTTGTCAAGAAAATTGTTTCTTAGTCCTTTAATGAGGTGCGGAGGATCAAATATCACATTAATCTTTTGACCTCTTATTATGATTGTGTCGTCTGAAATGAAAACAAAAATTTGGTTAATAGGCAATTAAAAGTATAAAAATGCATTACTGATAATTTTAGCACTTTATTAAGAACTTTAATTTGTGGCTTTAAACCTTTCATTCAATTATCTTACCAGTATTTTCCTTTGCCAATATTTGTTTTTTTCTTGTATCTTCCTTCAACTTATTAATAGCTGACTGGAATGAAGTTCCCTGGTCTGATATCAAAGCCACAGGAATTAATCCAGTTTTTATTATTTCTTCTGTCACTTGCTCTATTATATTTTTTAATATAAGTGCAGGTGTAGTTCCTTTACAAAAATAAAAGGCAATAGGCTGTTGCCATTTGTGTACAGCACCTCGAATGAGGAACACTAAGGCATGGTCAGCATAGTCACAGGTTTTTGACAGTAACTCTACAAGCCCACAGATATTGTCATTGTATTTGTCATATGTAAGACCTGGCTCTATCGAAACTTCATCAAATATTAGCGAGCAATATTTTTTCGATTCTTGCCAATTTACAACCTAGGAATAAAAAACATTAGGTAATTAACTTAACATAATAATATATTTAACACAAAAATGAGTGTTTAAGGAAACAGTATACCTCAGTTTTAATCGCTTTGAATATATGAGGATTTATTCCCGAATCCATTTTCAACTTATTAATTAATTTATTAATTGTCCTTATGGAGGGAAGAATGAATATTCTTCGTAAAAATCTGTAGCTTTTTGGGCTTTGTTTCATTATAGCAAGTGCAATCATTTTTTCCTCATCAGAGAATCTCCACCCTTTTGAATGTTTTCCACTTTGCATTATTTGCATCCATATAATTTTTTTCGCAAAGGGTTTCAAGTTACAAGTTAATTTTTCAAAGTTTTCCTTTTTAGAAAACTTCATAGCCCTTTTGGCTCTTTTAGCAAAACTTAACTGTTTTTTAGCTTTTTTTAACTCGTTCAATATTCTCAAATATGATGGTGAAAATTTTTTATTCCTTGTAGTATTCTTCCGGATGCACTTTTTAGATGTCACCACATTACTACATTGCGGCAAATCTGCACAACATAAAATTTACTACTTAAAATTTCAATAATAACAATCTATAAAATATGACATTAATATATACAAATAAATAAAATTGACTCAATCGAAAGGCATGCTAAGAAGCTTATTGGTGACTTGAATTTGGTTAAAACAAATCTAACTAGCCTCGAACAGCCTTACGGTTTTCTACAGGATGCATGTCGGAAAGTGTGCTACACATCATTCTTCATGCGTCCAGCAAAGGAGTGGAATAAGTAGCCAGCATCTGTTTTTCCATTTGATTACAATCTGGGTGTCTTCAAGGCAAGAGTGAATAAGCTTTTGTTAAGTCAGTGTGCTTCACAATCTTAGGCTACAACATCACCACTTACCATCAGGTGGGATTGTAGTTAAGAGCTGGCTTATATTTAAAAAAATATATAAATAAACAGTTGAGTTACCTGGTATTATCGGTTGTTGATTGTTTTGGTCACAAGCAGTTTTTTCAAAGTCCTTACTAGTAGATGGCATATTGGCTAAAACATAAAAATAATTTAAACTTAAAGTATAAACTTAAAGCATGACAATTGAATCATTATAAAAGTTAAAATAATTTTGCCTAATTTCTTTAAAAAATTATTACTGTATTTTTAGAAGAATTTATGAAGATTTTTATGATTTTTACAATTATATTTACCAGTTTTGTCATGATGTAGACACACTGCTATTTTTTCTGTCATTTTAAAATGTTTATAGATGGATGGTGGTTCATTGTAATCTGGAAACAAATATTTTTTTCATAGTTAACGGTGAACAGCAGGCAAAATCCTTAAAATTTCTGCCATCAAAATGATAGTCACATCAGATAGTAGTTGTGTGGTATATATATTAAGAGCTACCACTATAGCTCGTGAAATAAATGACACAATGAACAACAAAGTGACTATCATTGTGATGTCAACAAAGTTAATGTAATAATAGGACAGCAGAAGTTGCTGTCATCTTAATGATGGCTTTAAATTTTTAAATTATATATAAATATTTCAATAATTGTTATGTTAAATATTAACAGTTTACATCATTATTCTAGGTTTAATAATGATCTCTTTCCCCTAAACCATTAAAATGCATTAATGCACAACTGTTCTGCTGAGTGTAAAGAAAAGATAGAAAAAAGTACCTTGTGATTTCAAAGGTTGTGTT